AGAAAACTGAAGGCCCTCCAACATCTGGAAGGTCACAATGACCTAGCTGCACAGTTCTTCGGGGCCTGGATTTTGTTAGTGAATTAATTCAGAAATCCAATACCCATCCAAAATGAGTGAGCTTCCTAAGCCACTTCTTCATATCCAGCCCAGTCCTCAAATAAAATATCAGTTGGACCCTAGATACAATCTTCCAATTTCTGAGCCTCTGAATGCTTTCAGATGTGCTTGTTTCCTTATGTGTAAACATGATTCTATGAGAAAGGGCTGCATACTAAATCATTTGGGGGATACTTATCCTAGCAAGCAAAGTTATGCCTTGGATTCTTGAAGCAAAAGTCTCCCCTCTTTATCTGACCCTTATGCGTGTGCTCAAACCTAATGTTGCCATTCAAATCTGTTTCATAAGAGATTATGAGTGAGTCTCAGTTTTCTTTGTTAGCAGCAGAGAGAGAGAGCGTTATTTTGTCTGGTACGCAGGCTGAGACCCTACCTGCCCGCAGACTGTCTCGCCAGAGTGGTGCATGCTCTAGTTATCTCCCACTTGGACTACTGCAATGTGCTCTATGTGGGGCTACCTTTGAAGGTGACCTGGAAACTACAACTAATCCAGAATGTGGCAGCTAGACTGGTAACTGGGAGCAGCAGCTGAGACCACATAAGGGTCTTGAAAGACCTACATTGGCTCCCAGTACGTTTCTGAGCACAATTCAAAGTGTTGGTGCTGACCTTTAAAGTCCTAAACGGCCTCGGTCCAGTATATCTGAAAGAGCATCTCCACCCCCATCGTTCTGCCCGGACACTGCGGTCCACTGCCAAGGGCCTTCTGGCGGTTCCCTTGCTGTGAGAAGCCAAGTTACAGGGAAACAGGCAGAGGGCCTTCTCAGTAGCGGCACCCACTCTGTGGAACGCCCTCCCACTAGAGGTCAAAGAGAAAAACAACTACCAGACTTTTAGAAGACATCTGAAGGCAGCCCTGTTAAGGGAAGCTATTAATGGTTAATAGTGTATTGTTTTTTAATATTTTGTTGGAAGCCGCCCAGAGTGGCTTGGGAAACCCAGCCAGATGGGTGGAGTATAAATATATTATTATTATTAAGCAGAGAGGGGCTTGTTAAAATTACCTGCTTGCCATTCTTTCAGATCTACAGTAAGCCTAGCCCTCCAGACAGGGTTTCTGTAAGCCAATCAGCTGTCTGTAAACCTCTTCTGCTCCCATACCCTCAGCTGCTCCAATAGCCAATGAGAGCCCTAGGGAGAATGACGAGCTCTTGTTTGTTGCAGGAACTGTGATTTAAAAGTGCAGGTGAGGTGCTGATTGTGCAGGTTACAGCAGCACAACATTAAGCACAGGAGAGGGAGACTGTTTTAGACAGGCATGGGCAAACTCCGGCCCTCCAGATGTTTGGTTCTATAATTCCCATCATCCCCAGCTAACAGGACCAGTTGTCAGGGATGATGGGAATTGTAGTCCCAAACATCTGGAGGGCCGGAGTTTGCCTACGCCTGGTTTTAGACACCAAAATCATGATGTCATGGAACCTAGCTAATTCCCAATATTGATATAAGAAAGTTAAGAAAAGCAAGCTAGTGGAAACCTATTGTAGTCAGTGAAACTATAATAAAAAACCAAGAACATTTATTTAGATTGGCTGTTAATTCAACATTGAGCAACTGTCTTGATTTTTTAAAAACCTGCTGTTATTGATTTACATTACAGAATGAAACAGTTATTTTCATGGGAGCTGGGGGCACTATTATGCAGTGGATCTGCTCCTTCCTCCTGGGCCATGTCCGGAAAGTGGTGTTGGGCTCTCACTTGTGGGGTGCCTCATGGCTCCGTCCTCTCCCCCATTCTTTTTAACATCTACATGAAGCCGCTGGGAGAGATCATCAGGAAGTTTGGGCTGGGTGTCCACCAGTATGCAGATGATGCCCAGCTCTACCTCTCCTTCAAATCAGAACCAGTGAGGGCAGTCAAGGTCCTGTTTGAGCATCTAAAGACGGTTGGCAGATCGATGGTGGCTAACAGATTGAGGGTGAATCCTGACAAGACAGCAGTACTGTTCTTGGGGGGGCAGGGGTCGGGTGGGTGTGAGGGACTCGCTGGTCCTGAACGGGTTAACCGTGCCCCTGAAAGACCAGGTGCACAGCCTGGGAGTCATTTTGGACTCACAGATGTCTACCAGCTCCATTTGCTATGCAGGCTGAGACCCTACCTGCCCGCTGACTGTCTCAACAGAGTGGTGCATGCCCTGGTTATCTCCTGCATGGACTATAGCAATGCGTTCTATGTGGGACTACCTGTGAAGATGACTCAGAAACTGCAACTAATCCAGAATGCAGCAGCTAGACTGGTGATTGGGAGTGGCCACCGGTACTATATAACACTGGTCCTAAAGGATCTTCACTGGCTCCCAGTACATTTCTGAGCACAATTCCAAGTGTTGGTGCTGGCTTTTAAAGTCCTAAACAGCCTCGGCCCAATATACTTGAAGGAGCGTCTCCACCCCCATCGTTCAGCTCGGACACTGAGGTCCTCCTCTGAGGGTCTTCTGCTGGTTCCCTCACTGTGAGAAGGGAAGTTACAGGGAACCAGGCAGAGGACCTTCTTGGTAGTGGTGCCCTCCCTGTGGAACGCCCTCCCTTCAGATGTCAAGGAGATAAAGAATTACACATTATTGTTATTGTTATTATGTCAAGCCTAAATGGAACATGTGTTAACTCTGGCAGAGTCCAGATCAGCCTTCCCCCAACCCGGTGCCCTCCAGGTGTTTTTGAACTACAGTTCCCATCATCCCTTAACATTGCACATGCCAGAAAGGGCTAAAGCGAACTGAAGTCCAAACCAATTAGAGACCATCAGGTTGGGAAAGAGTGGTGTAGATCAGAAGTGGGGAACCTGTAACTGTTGAAGTCCAGAACCACACATTTGTCAACCCTGTTCTAGATCATAATATCTGCAATATATTCACAAGGTGTTAGCATTGCTGGGATAGCAAGAGTTTCCCTGGTATTATAAAACTCTTTATTAAATGTCTAGTTGGGATATGCAGTATTTTTTTTCATAGATTCTATTAGCAAAGTTAACTCAACATAAACTCTCATGTTGCGTAACTTGCACCGAAAGCTCAACAAAGGGCGCGGGGGGACAGAAAACATCAAAAAAGAAAAAGAAAACAACAAATTTATTTAAACTTTCCCTTCTGCTCCTAGTATCTTGTTTAATGGAGAGAGTGAACTCACATAAAAAATTAAGATTTACAGCCAAACAAAATAGAAATTAAGTAATTAAGCAGGCTTGGGCTTCTAATATTTATGCACTTGTAGACAATTGTCTGAACCCAGTTAGTTTCTTGGTGTTATTTATTATGTGTGGGGTACCAGGAATATATCTCATTTTATTTTCACAACCACCCTGTGAGGTAGATTATGCTTGCGGAACAAACGAAACATGAAGACAGATCTACAAAACTATACCCCCCCCTTCCCACCACATAAACACAATGGTTCTAACAGGATTTGGCTACAGCTGAATTAAACACACACACACAAAGTTAACCCCTGAGAGGTGGCAACTGATCCAAGGCCACTTAGTGCTATTTTTATTTTTAAAAATTTATTTCCTACCTTATTGACCATCTTGGCTGTGAGTCCTGGAAGAACCACTCCCTGCTTTGCAAGTGTTTTGCACCTGGCCTGAGAGGGTGGGAACCCTGATTGAATTAATCTACAAAAGCTGAGGCTGCTGATCAGAATTTGGGGCTGGTGTGTTTTGTTAGCAGGGGAAGTTGTTGCTGATGAGGAAGAGGATGATTGGTATCTTTATTTCAGATCTTCTTGTGAGTTATGTGGGAATTGTTCTGTTTGGCTCTGTATTTTTTAATGTTTTATATATATTTTTATGACTAATTTTGTTACGGAGTGTTAGGGGAGGGGCAATACCACTGATAGAGGACACATCATGTACCTTCTGGGTAGTTAATCCACCATTGATCCCCCTCTGCTGCACTCAGCTCTCACCTGTGGCTTGTAGAAGCTGACGGCATGTGACAGCAGCCTTTGACCAGCCAGCTAAAGCAGGTGAGGGTAGCCAATGGGTCTCAGACTCTTGGTGAGTTAGGAACATGCCCTGCATTCGAAGACAGGCTCTGGCAGATTGAGCGGATGAGACCAATAGTTGGTCCTACCGTTAAGAAGGTGATTTCTGTGTGTGCTGTAGAGGGAAGTGCGGGGCAGATGGGGCTTGTCAACGTAGGAGAAGGAAAACTGATTCGAAACCTCATGCAAATAAAGTTACATACGTGGGTGGCGCTCTGGGTTAAACCGCAGAGCCTGGGACTTGCCAATCAGAAGGTCGGTGGTTCGAATCCCCGCGACGGGGTGAGCTCCCATTGCTCGGTCCCTGCTCCTGCTAACCTAGCAGTTCGAAAGCACGCCAAAGTGCAAGTAGATAAATAGGTACCGCTCTGGCGGGAAGGTCAATGGCGTTTCCGTGCGCTGCTCTGGTTCGCCAGAAGCGGCTTAGTCATGCTGGCCACATGACCCGGAAGCTGTACGCCGGCATCCTCGGACAATAAAGCGAGATGAGCTCCACAACCCCAGAGTCGGCCACGACTGGACTTAACGGTCAGGGGTCCCTTTACCTTTACTGTCCTCTGGCAGAGGCAGAGCTAGCTGCTCTGGCACCCAGAGCGGTGCACATCCTGTACACCCAGGGGCAGGGCGAGCTGCCTGTTGGGCAGGGTGAGCATCCCAGGGGGGCGTCGCCCACATCGAGCGTCCCAGGGGGGCAACGAGGTGATGTCACCCCCCTCAGGGATGACACCTGAGACAGACAGCACCCACTGCACCCCCTTTCCTTTGCCAGTGCTCTCTGCCCCACCCTCCTGCCAAAGGACCTCAAGCTTTCTTCCTGAGTGGGATTTGAATCCAGGATTTTAGATTCAGGTCTAATACTCTGCCATCCACTCTGCTTTATCACCTCTCTTAAATAAAGTGGGACTGTGGCTCAATGGAAGAGCATTGGCTTTGCATGTAAAAAGTCTCAGGTTTGATCCCTGGCATCTCCAGGTAGGGCTGGGAAAGACCCCCTTGCCTGAAAGCAAAAGTCCTTCCACTGCACTACAGCCTTTTCCCCAGAACCCTAAACCCATGGGAGCATGTTACCAACCAGCCTTTCGTGTGGCATTGCTCTACAGGGAAGACTGAACTCATGCCCGACCCTATTCATTCTGATCCACTGTTGTTCTGCGAGAAGAGTATTCCTGGGCTTGGATATCCTCCTTGTGGAGCCCCTGCATCATGACATGCTCCTGTTTTTATCGTCCTTGTTTCCTGACGCCCACTGGCCTACTTTCACAATTCCACAATGCCCTGGTTCCCCCCCACCCACTCACTATATATAGCTGCCTGGATCATTCAATTTCACAAGAAGTGGGACAAAATCTGGTTCAACAAAGCTTTTTCGTCTGGAGCGTTGGTGATGGAGATAAGGGAGATTGGCACGCTATACCCTGTCCTCGTGGTGGCAAGGGAGGGTCTGTCTTAGGGCTGTACACCTGGGCATCTCTTTTCAGAAGGGTCTGGGCATTGTCCAGGCATGGGCATAGCCGGGGGGGGGGGGCAAGGAGGAGCAGCTGCCCCCCTAAATAAAAATACAGTGGTACCTCTAGTTACGGACTCGATCCGTTCCGGGATGCCGTTCACACCCCAAAAAGTCTGTAACTAGAGCACTGCTTCTGTGCATGTGCGTGGCACAATAGAGAGCTTCTGAGCATGCGCAAAGTGCACAGAACGTTTCTGCGCACACATGCACAGTGAAACCCAAAAGTATACACTTCCACGTTCGCAAGCCGAAAGGACACAACATGAACCTAACGCAGCACGAGGTATGACTGTACCTAGCTAACTGAGCTTCTGCCCCCTCCCAACAAAAGGCCTGCCCCCCAACAAAGAGCCTGACCCCCCCCCCCCGAAAAAAAATCCTGGCTATGCCCATGTGTCTGAGTGTGATGGAATCGCGAAGCATTTTCCAAAAGCCAGCAAAGACCATTCATTTTCTTTGCAATGGCTGTAGAGCACAGTGTATCTGTGCAAAAGAGAGGGGAGTGAGTTTAAAACTTATCTAATTGCAAAGGAGTAAAGGAAACACACAGGTGTGTGTGAAAGAAAGAGGAGGAGGAGGGGAGATTAAAAAGCTAGTAATTGGGAAACTGGGCAGTGAAAAACAGCAAAGGAAGAGGGGCTTTTGAGTAGGAGGAACTGTTGCTGGCATAGCACAGTGAATAAAAAACTGGCAGTTCCTTTTGGAATAAGCTCATCTCTGCCTTGATATCTAGGATATGCACACCCACTCTACAGGAGCAGCTGGTGCCCATTGAGGCTGGTAGGGTGTAAGGCAGGGAGGCCCGCAGTGAATGGAGCCCAAGCCAGTAACAGAGGGAGCAGACCAAATACTACTCTTCTTCTCCATCCTCCTCCTTGCTGAACCCTACAAGGGCAACACTGAGAGTAAGGAGGAGGAAGGAGCTGTCATGCAGTGCCACCCCTTGGACTTGTAAGTGAGAAAGCAGGCAGATGGAGGCCGGCTGAGGGCACACTGGAGTTTGTGAGGCAGCTCCCTATTTCTCAGTGTGGTATAGGAGTTAGGGTGTTGGACCAAGGCCTGGGAGACCAGGGTTCAAATCCTCACGCCACCACTGGGGTGACTTTGGGCCAGTGGCATTTTCATTCGCCATCTTGATTCAAAATGGCGACTGGTGTCCCAACATCAGTGAAAACTGCTGCACTCACCTTGTGAACCCTCTTGCCTAATGATATCTCGAGAAGCCAAACCCATACAAGACAGACAAACAGACCACTTTCCAAAACGGATAGTAGATTTAGTATTTGTTTCAACAACTTATACACCACTGAATTACAATTTCTTCTAAGCAGTGTACAAGTGACCACATCACAATGAAAATGAAACTATATCTCTTGAAAATACACAATCTTCCCCTACAGCTTCCCCTAAATCCTGGGAATTTCCTGTGCAATCCCAATTGCAACCTTCCTGTTCAAGTTGCAGAAGTAACCTGGTTTTAACAACTGCATCTGACAAACAGTGAATATGCTTTGTGCACATTCACTACTTTTCAAAGATTCCCCTCTCCCTTCCAGGGGGTCTGCTTCATCAAAACATAACACAGTCGACTTCCTGAAAAGCAAATGTGTGCAGCACCTTTGATTTGGGACCATGTCATGTGTTTCTTATTGCAAAAAATAAATTTAAAAAATCACTCCCTATCACAAGAAACCCCCACAACTCCAACAACAATGTGTGATACTCTAGCAAAGGAGTTTACCAGAGAAGAATATTGGTGCAGGAGAGAGACAGGGAGAGAGAGAGAGAAATGAGAAGAGTTGGAAGAATTTGATGAAGTGACTTTATTGAAAAGGGGAAAAACTCTATTGTGATTGTTTTTGTGTGTTCAGACTCACAGGCGGGACAAATGACCGAGAACCAATTTGTTACAGTGGTTCATAAATGCCAGAGTAGGGGTGGGGTGCCCCTCTTTTTTCAGCCTATCTAAAGCCATCTAATTCATTTATTCGCTTATATTTATATCCTGCCTTCCTTCCATCATAAAGCCTAAGGCAGCAACATGTGACTCCCAGGCAGTCACCTACAGTACCTAGGCATTTACATTGGTATTTAAAACCCTAAACAAAGCAACTTACCAAAAGAAAAAAGGCTCACCTGGCACTTACGCCATGATTTTTGGGGCACCAAGTGAATGCCTTCCTGTTCTTCAGAAACCTGTTAATTACAATCTATTGGATGCTTTAGTTTTCGTACCAAGTCCTGCCTCTCCCCCCCTCCTTGCTGTGTTCAATGAAGTTTTCATGTTTTTAGCTGAGAGAGCCAGTGTGGTATAGTGGTTAAGAGCAGTGGACTCGTAATCTGGTGAACCGGGTTCAATTCCCCGCTCCTCCACATGCAACTGCTGGGTGACCTTGGGCCAGTCACACTTCTCTGAAGTCTCTCGGCTTCACTCACCTCACAGAGTGTTTGTTGTGGGGGAGGAAGGGAAAGGAGAATGTTAGCCGGTTTGAGACTCCTTAGGGTAGTGATAAAGCAGGATATCAAATCCAAACTCTTCTTCTTCTTCTTCTTTAGGATGTGTTAGGTTTAGCGAGTGATCCTATGCACAAGAAGCTGGCATTGAGTAAGCTGGTGTGCGTTGAGACAGTATAAAGTTACCCCATATCCAAACCATAGTCAGTTGCTCTTGTTGCTCAGCATAAGCCTGGCAGAGGGAAATCGAGTTTTTTAAATAGTGTTCTATGCCGGGCACATGACCAAGCTGACTGGGCTTAGGATCCCGTCTCAACTCCGCCCCATTTGGTTTCGGCCCTGCCATACCCCCTAGAATACCCCTTTACAGACTTACACTGACCTTGGCTCAGCCAAGCTTAGGTTCAGCTGGCTGCACTCGAGCTGAGCCAGGATAAGCAAGTTATGCCAGCACATCTTTGGTTCAGCCCAGGAATCAGCAAGCTGAGCTGGAGATCTGCTGCCTCCTAAGGTGCTGATCCTGACGGATTTTGTCATAGAATTGCCCCAGAGGCATATCGAGTAGATTCTTTCCAATGTTCCCCCGCAGCCAGCAGCAAAACAGCAAAAGCTTACGCTGAAACACATCAGCTTAAAAGGGTCGTATTAGAGAGGGCATGGAGAAATGGACTGCCTGGGAAATTATTTGTTGACTTCTTGGAGCCCATCTATCTCCCCCTCAAAGGACACTTGGAGTTCAAGGTTCATTTCAGCCATCCAAGAGCAAGACAATAATGAGGGGCAATGGGAACACACAGCTACAAGCTGTTTTGTTACAGAGCTTCTTCCAAAGAGCCCCTTCCCTCCAAACCAGGTGGAATTATATATATATATATATATATATATGTTTGGGCCTTCTAATCAAGCCACTCCACACAGTCCGCTACAATTTCCGTCCTTTTCTTCTCCGGCTTCTTCAGATCAAAGTCAAAACTCCTAGACTTGCTAGTCCCCCAGTGCAGCCCCTCGGAGCTTAATGAGCTCCAACCGAGGGACACCAAAAGACGAAAGGAAAACAGAGGCGATGCAATTCATTGAGTTTGATCAATGTGACAAAACGGGGGAGAGCCACCCACAAGGAGAGTGTCCTTGCCACCTAATTTCCCAGTGTAGTGCTTTGTGGGGTTTTTTCTTCTTCAATCCACTTCATCCTGGGCTGAGCAGGAGGGGAGACTGCCCCACCCCCATTGCCAGAATGTGTGCTGCAGAACTCCTTACACTTCTCATCTCTTGGTGTGGTGGTCACCTTCGGCCTCGTTGCCAATGATTTCTAAAATGCTACTTCATTTGGGAGAAGAACATTGCCTGTGTGTGAAGGGGGTGGGGAAAGCTTCCTTAAAGAGGAACAGTTCAGGATGTTGAAATACAAAAGTCAGGGGTTCTCTCCCCCCTCCTCTCCTTCCTTTGAGGCCCAATTTCTCAGGCCACATGATTCCCCCCCCCCCCCCAGGATTAAGTTGGAGGTGAGCTTTTGCATACAGAATGTTGTGTTTCTTTGTTCCCGCAAAGGCTCCCGGCCCCTCCTCCTCTTCCACAATCGCAGTCCGCAGCAAAGCCTGCCAAGATTCTCGCACATTATCAGGTCAGAATATTCAGAGCCCAATTATTTTAATAGTCAACAATGGTTCAGTGCACCAGTAGGAAGAATATTCCGGAACCTAACGAGTCGCTTAGTCTAACATCTGGTGAGGTTTCTCTTTCTCTCTTTTGAGGAAGACAAGGCACACAGAGATCCATGCCACAGAAGTCAATGGAAAGGAATGATAATTGCTCATTAAAGCGCCTCCTCCACAGGTTATTTTTAAACTCCCACACTCTTACTAATCATGGCCCATGCCCCGGGTGATCCGGAAAGGGTCAACATGTCAGTTGCGCCTCCATTTCAAGAAAGGTCTTTCTGAAGTCTGGAGGTCCACATACCTAGAGGGCAAATGCACCTGTGATTCACCGTGGGATAAAATGAGGAGAAAT